CACCAGGAGCCACTGTTTCTGGTGGAGCTTCGTTCATGTCTGGAGAACTTGTGGGGAGAGGTGCGCCAGTGAGAAGAGGACCCGGTGTCATTCAGGTAGGACCAGCCATCTGGACAACCCAACAGAGGCAGGCCAGGTGCTTTCCACACATTAAGCTTCAGGTCACTTGGGCTCTGAGGAAGGAGCTAAAGACAGAGATCCAGTTGTGAAATCTAGTACATATGTTAAAATATTTGAATACCTTATTCTCCTTTTAAATGTTTCTAGGGAACTTGAATGTTTTGCTAACCTGGTTATTTTTAGCCAGTCCTTATGAAAGACATTGCGCTGCAAAGCCAGCAGCCCCAGAAAATACTCATTTGTTTTTACGCTCGGGTTGAAATTAATTAATATTAACATATTGGATGATGCAATAGGCAATTAAAGATTTTGGAAAGTCGAAGAAGAAAAAAATGTAAATAGCAGCTATTCAAAAGCAGTATCATGGCATTATCTAAAAATGCTGGCTTATGACCGGGCTGTTTGGGTGGGGGTGGGAGAGGGGGGGGGGCGTTCTTTGTAGCTGAAGAGATAAGCGTGGGAAAGAATGTGCTCTAGTCCCTCAGAAATAAGACTTCGTGTTTCATACAACATCGTCAAGGCAATCCTTGTAGTTTTGATTGGTTGGTTGGGCTGTTTTTACCTGCTGGCAGGGCCTAAGCAAATGCTTCTAGTAAGCTTTGCTCTCTCTCTCTGTGGGGACACAGTGACACTGGTTTTATAGCAAAACTGTGTTTGCTTCGTAGGCATTTCCTCAAAAATCCTGAACAAGCAGCTCTCTTCTCACCACATTTTTTTTTGGTTCCACATGTTAAACATTTCATTGCAATTTGAGTTTCAATTGCATGTGTAAGAAGTGTGTGTGTGTGTGTGTGTGTGTGTGTGTGTGTTGATAGGAAGGCATGACCAGGAGATGCATAAGAATTCTGGAAGGTTTTGCTTTAAAAGATTAATTCCTCACAATTATGTACTGACGTCGCTAAGGAAAGCTATTACATATAGCCAAGCCAGAACTCATCAATCTTGAGCAGTGGGGGTAGGGAGGTGGTACGGAAGAAGACATGGAATTTGGTGTTTGAGTAGATGTGATTTAATTTTTAGAAACCATTTCGCTCATAAAAAGGATCGCCGCCCAGTGCTAGCCCTGACCTCCATGATGTCAATGTCATTGTGCAAGTGCAGCTAAGCTAAGCCTCAAAATAAAACAAAGAAGCACTGCCTCTCAGCACCACACACATTTCTTCTCTTCCAGTATGTACCATCCAGAGCCTTTTGGTGTTCCTGCTAACGGCTTGTTATTTCAGAATGTAGCTTCCGAAGGGGGAGGGAGCAGAAAAATCATCCTTGCATGTTCTGTGCTCTGAGCAAGTGCAGTCGTGGCTGCTGCAAGTCTTAGCGTTATTTAGGTCAGCGTCCTAAAGACAGCCTGTATCGTTCGAGAGAGCGATGCATCCAGAGGATCCCAGCACCAATTTTATTTTTCTGTTCTGATTCTGCTCTGCTTCCTAAATTTAAGACAATTCTTTCACATTTTGAGAACATTCTGTCTGCCATCCTGCACTGCAGCTGCATTGAGCAGGATGCATTGACGCTGCTTGGTTCAAGGTTATGCAGCAGGAATTCAGACAGCTGATCATGCATTCTTCCGCAAGCTTGCCGGCACCATCTAGGGTTCCGAGAACTAATCCAACATTTTATACCCTCCTTCAGAATAATTCTGACTTTACAGTAGCCTGGCAGCCTTTTGGTTGCTGCTGGTGCTGCTGGCGTTAGCAATTCTGTGAAATGAACAATCTACAAAAAACGCATCCCAGACCAGATACATACTGTATTGGAAGCTTTCTTCAAGAGGAGGACACGACAGTCTTCGTTCCAGCCTATTTTCTTCCTTAGCCCAAGGACTGTTTGATTCGCAGAAGCAGAAGAACACATTCATTGTGCAGCAGCTCTGCTTAAGTGTACAAAATGCCTTCGACTGCCTGGTTGCAGAATTTGGAGTTTGCTGAAAACACTGGTTAGTGATTGGGCTCATCTTGCATCACCAGTTGATGACATTTTTCTTTGTTCCCTCCTACCCAGTTGAACCAAGACTCTGAGGCTGATATGCAATGTCACGTACAACATTACTCAGACACTGCATTTAAGGTGAGCTGTCCCCTGCCTCCTCCTTCCCTAGCGCTCCTGTGCTGCATGCAGTGCGTATCTTGCTTCCGTGAGCCTAAGATGGCAGGCAGGATTAGCCGTGCCTGTGCTGGGCGTGCATGCTGTGTATAGAATTCATTACATGTTTCAGATGTGAGTATGTAAATGCTCTCTGTGCCGTGTCATCTGGTCGCGAGGACTTGCTTTTGCCTCATTACAGCCTGGGAGATTTCAGCATCACCTTTCCGTTCCGATTCATTTGCTTCTGGATGTTTGCTTTTCGTCACATTCAAAATAGGCTTTTACTTTTTTTTTTTTTTTAAACAAAGCAACCAAAAAAGCCCTCAAAACAAAACATCAACAACGAAAAACTCTGCTCCCAGATGGTTGTCTTCCATTCTTCTTGCATTTGCTAGCTTTTAAATAATGTATGTTGTATTGTTAATTAATGTGAATATCAAATTGAACCCTGGAAACTTACATATTTATTATGCAGGTAGGAGGCAAGGTGGAATCTATTTTTAACGCTCATACGCTCTGTGGCGTGCAGACGACTTAGGCTCTCAAAATGGTATTTTCAGTACTGGTGTCAGTGGGTTGATTTTCAGAGCATGTGATAGTGGTCTTTGCAGTGGTCAGCTCCGGGCTTTGAACTCTCAGAGGAGGCAGGGGGGAAAACTCAACACCCCACCTCCTTGAGTGCAGCCTCGGAGAAACCGTGGATGAGAAATTTCTTTCTATCCGGTGCTGTTTTCCTGGTGATAAATTCAGTTCTCGTGATCACAGCACATCCAAGCTGTTCTGCGTATGATGATGATGATTTTATTTATTTATTTTGGGTGACAATTGCATCTAAAACTTGTGAGCAACAAGACGGAAAAATCAGTTGGTCTCCGTCGCATTCCTTAAAGATGGCTGAGTGTCTTCCCGTGCCAGCACTGCATCAAGTGATGCATACAGGTAGGTTGACATTTGCATGTTTTATAGATTTTTTTTCTTGGAGCCGTGCAATAAGAGCATTAGATGGATTAAAATATGACTTTTAATATAAAAATTAAATGAGCCAGTTGTAATCTTTTGGGGGGAGGATGAATGGCATTAAATTGGATAGCCTCTCCTACTGATATACTATATCAATCTGTAGTGCTTGTAGACTTATAAAATGACCCTAAGGGTAAGACATTTCTTTTCTTTCAAAAAAAATCATCTTTATGATAGGTGTGGCGCTACTAGGCAACAAAAGGATTTTTTGAAAAGTCTGCTGATTCAACTCCATTTCAGCTTGCAACTGAAAATAAGTGGGTTTCTGGAGATATTGTGAAGAGCGCAAACAGGCTTAATACAAAACATTAAAAATATTTAAAATTTCAAAAGCGGTCTTTAAGCGTGTTAGATGAAAGGTTAAAGATGAAGCTTTGCCAGCTCCCCAAAGCCATTTTAGAACCTGCTCAAGGATAAAGACATTATCTGAATGTCTATGACTTGGAGGACTAAGGAACTGTAATTTTTAAGGGGGAAAATATTAAATCTAGATGACCCTGAAAGAAGAAACAGAGTTTCCCGAACCTTTCAAGTGGTTGACTTGCAGCTGTGGTTATAGCAGTACCAAATTTCGGCACTTCCAAAAAAAAATTCTCATGGGCTCTTTTCCTTTGAGCATAACTCCTCAAAATATATTTTAGTTTCAAATCAACACTGGGCCCAGAACATGTTTCCTTGGTAACCAAATCCCATTTAAAAATGCAATAACAGTAATGCAAAAGCAGGTCTCTTTTTAAAAAAAGTAACAAACAAACAAATGTTTAATGAAGTTTTTTCAGTTCCTTTTCCACCCATACCAAGAGTCTGAACTGGTTTTAAACGTTTTTCATCGCGGGCTCTAAGTCTTAAAAATTAAGCCAGCTATCTACTCTTACAGAGAAAGCTTGCACAATGAGAGCTTTTTTCCCTTCCTTCTTTTTACTCACTACTTTCAAAATGAAGGTTTTCTCTGTAATGTGCTCCAAAATGCGAGCCTCGGTCTGTGCTTGTAGTTTCATTATCACACGTTCACCAGCGCCACTGAGACAAAAGGTAATTTAGAAATTCGGAGAACCAGAGAATGCTTCTGATCTGGTTTTTCCCGATCCCCCACTGGAAACCTGAGTGCTCCGTAGAGTAGGGCCCACCCCAAGCCCATCCCCGTTGGGAATTGCACGTGGAGCCTTTGCGGAACATCTTTGTGGGTAGGTGCATTCATTCGGAGGAAGATGGTGCCAAGCCTGCATCCCTGAGCTTTGTTCTGGTGTGAAGAGAGTTGAGATTCAGGACCATCTTGTAAACACTTGCTTTGTTCTAGCAGTTTTTCTACTTTCCACAGCATTGTCTGCAAAAAAATAAAATTTCTTGCGAGCTAAAGGTTTTTTGCTGCTGTTGTTGTTGTCTTGGGTTGGTTTGCTTTCGTGTGTGTGTGTGGGGGGGGGAGACCAACTTAAATATCTTGCTTGGCATTTTTCTGACTCAATGACATCACGTGATTCTTCTCAGTGATTTCATTCTCTGGCTGTCATGAAATGTTCTTCCTGCAAGACCTTTTATTGTGGAGGAGCTGTTTGGGGGCCATTTTCCTTTTAACTTAAAATGAATGAGTACATTGAACATAGCATCAATCAGAAGATCGTGAAGGAAAATGCCAGAAATTGGTTTCAGAATTGCCTATTTATTTTAGTACCAGTAGCATTAATCGTTGCAGCAGGATCAAGCTAATTGTCATTCTCTCTTGAGCAAATAATGAGCCAGGCATTTGTAATTAAAACACTATTGCTATTCAGAAAGATTACAACTACAGTGTCTTCTATTTTGATAGGCCAGTACAAATTAATAATTTTGAACTGATTTGAATCTTAATTACAAGATTATATAGAATACGATGGATTTGTTTTACCATAAAAAATGAATGCCTTATAGGTTCGATACTGCCTTTCTGCTTTATCAAATATTAATCCTTTTGTTTTTAACTCAAGCACAGTTGGTTGCATCATCTTGTTTGGATTTGTATACCTAATGAATTTTTTTTTTGGGGGTGGCATTTCTCATTTAATGTTACTCTTGCTCTTGCCTGTGAGAATTTTCACCACAATTCAAGGAGCTAGAAAACCAAGGAAGACTGTTAGGAAGTGCACTGTACCATTGTCAGTCTAATAAGAGACCAACGAACAGAAGAACAATTATTAAGACTTAGCTGTGTTGTGCTCACATGTTTTGCCTTCTTGTTTCACAGAAATGTGTGCAAGCTACAAAGCCTTCTTAAACATACCTGTTTAAAATATTATTGAATTTCCTAAATTAGTCGGGCGAAGTGCTGCTTCCTCCCCATTGTAGAGGATGGCACTTTGCACCTCCAGGTGTTAATGTAAGAGACTGTGTTGAAACCCTGGCTAAAGTGTTTGTCACAGGCGGGCCAGAGCAGGTGCGGCAGGCAGAAAGCACAAGCAGATGCTTTGTTCTCACCAAAACAAAATGGGCAAATGTGTGGTTTTCTGCCTGAATGATTTATAGTATAGAATTCTCAACTCCTTTTTCCTTGGGGAATAGGAAATGCTTTTCAAAGATTTAACTCATTGCATCTCTCAACAATCTTATAATTGCATCACCTATGAGGTGATATTGATCATTTAGCACCCATTTTTATGGATCCCCTATTAAAAAAAGAAAATAAACTCACTGCAATCAAAATCCCACCTCATAGTGATCCTATATCCTGTTCAAGGCTGTAAGTCTTTAAAAAAAAAAAAGGCTGTAAGTCTTTAAAAAAGAAAAAATGCTGTAAGTCTTTCTGGAAGCAGATTGCCTCATCTTTCTCCCAGGGAGCAGCTGATGGGTTTGAACCACAGACTTTGTGGTTAGCACTTCAACGCTTACCTGACAGAGTCACCAGGGCTCAACCATGACTTAGAGACCTTTCTCGGGTTGATATTGAGAAACAAGATCTAGTACCTTGCTCTTCAGTACTAAATGATGCTAGACCTTTAACTTCCTGGTTCATCCGAGGGAAATGCTATCCTTAACAACAACCTTGGTAACCAAACATCAAGCACATTATTGGATGTCAGGTTCTACTCCAGAGCCAGGGACTATAGTAATGAACACGACAGTCCCTGGTCTACTTCTTAGGGGTCGCCATCTACTTGGGGGCAGACAAAATACATATGAGAGCAAAGAACTAAAACAGACAAGTGCTGTGAAAAAAACAGTAAGAGGAGTAGAACTACTTCAGAATAGCTGGCCAGGGAAAGGCTTCCTGAGGAAGGGCATTTAATGCGTGATGGGAGGAGTCCCATCTTCCCTCTACCAGGGAAGAGGTAGTCGGGACCTGTGTTTGCCAGAGGAGTGTTCACGCCCCAACTGTAGGCTTTCCTAGCTTCCTTCAGGTGTCACCGGCTCAGTCTTCAGGTTCAACAACTGATGGATGAGCCTTGCTGGGATCAGCTTCCACCACAGTGAGAGGGCTGGCCAGGCCCCTGTGCTGAACTTAGCTAGTCAGATTCTGAGGACTGGGTGCCCTTGGCCCAGGCAGCCCCGAAGCCTGCCTGAGAAGATACCATGTGACAGCCAGCATTGCTGTCCTTGAAGATGATACAATTTTGGCACCAGTTCGGCGCAAGCCCGAGAAATGTTCAGAAGAACAGCTTCTCAGAACAAGGACGTTTCTCGAAAGGCATTTGTTGTATATTTTCATGAAACCACCAGAATTTAAACACATTCGGCAAAACTTTAAGATACCTCTTTGCTTTCCTTTTCCCCTAAGGTAAATGGAGCAATGGTCTGTTTCATCTTGACAACCGATTGTCCCTGTCCTCTCTCACCACCATTTGCCAGGTTCCACAGAAGGCTTCTACTGGCTGGTGGCCTTCTAAATATTTCACTACTTGGAGTTTTTCTTTTCTTTATTTTTTTTAATTAGATAAAATAGCACTAAGAAATTTCTTAAGAACCAAGAGCCTGCTGATGAAGATAGGAGAACAAAGGAATGGGTTTACTTAACTGTCTGGCCTTTGAGACGGATTCGTACATTTGGCAGCAAATGCAATCACAGTTCGAGGTAGCCTACTGGCACTCCGGATGTGTCCTCCTTAGACCTCAGTATATTCTGAGGGGCTCTGACCCCTATCCCTGCATGGTTTAAGAAAAGCTTGTTTGTGAATATGGTCCATCAGCAGAGGAGGAAACCTCCAGAATGGACGGAGCTCACCTCTGGGAGCATTTGCTGGGCCTCTACTGTGCGAAGGTACCGCTGCAGCCCAGGTAGACTGGGATCTGCTATCCATGTGGAAGGTAGGCCTAGGGCAGCAGTTCTCAACCTGCGGGTCGTGACCCCTTTGCGGGGGGGGGGGTGGGTCGGGCAACAACCCTTTCACAGGGGCTGCCTAAGACCATCGGAAAACACATAAATATTTCACAATATATATTTACTTATTGTTTTGTGATTAATCACTATGCTTTAATTATGTTCAATTTGTAACAATGAAAATACATCCTGCATATCAGATACTTGCATTACAATTCATAACAGTAGCAAAATTACGGTTATGAAGTAGCAACGGAAATCATTTTATGGTTGGGGGTCACCACCACATGATGAACTGTATTAAAGGGTTGTGGCATTAGGAAGGTTGAGAACCACTGGCCTAGGGCATCGAAACCAAACTCACTGCCGTCGGGTCCAGTCCCACTCACAGGGAGCCTAGAGGACAGGGGAGAACTGATCCTGTGGGTTCCTAAGACTATAATTCTTTACTGGAACAGAACGCCCCACCTTTCTCCCATGGAGTGGCTGGTGGTTTTGAGCCGACGACTTTGCAAGTCACAGCCCAAAGCATGACCAGGCACAATTGTGTCTTTCCAGTTGGACAAGGCGACGAATGATGTTTTCTTAGTGTCTTTTTATACTGTTCCTTGAAGGCCAAAGGAGCCCTGGTGGC